ATCAGTTGATCAGAAATACACGCACAATACACATCAGAGGTCACTTTCATTCTTTAGTGTCATGGCGGGTTCGTGGTGGAGACTTCAGCGGTCGATACACATCAGAGGTCACTTTCATTCTTTAGTGTCATGGCGGGTTCGTAGTGGAGACTTCAGCGGTCGATACACATCAGAGGTCACTTTCATTCTTTAGTGTCATGGCGGGTTCGTGGTGAGACTTCAGCGGTCGATACACATCAGAGGTCACTTTCATTCTTTAGTGTCATGGCGGGTTCGTGGTGGAGACTTCAGCGGTCGATACACTGAGCTGGTGACACTAATACTCTTACGGTGTGATCCCCTTGTAACAATTTAGGCTGTGTCACGGTGACACCTAACGACTTACGAATATATACCCCGGTACAACAATAAAGGCACCCCACTACTGAATACCATTGGGGCGGTGGGGTAGCCGGTTACAGCCAGGGAAAGCCACATTTAAGAAACACAGAGTTGAAAATGGTGTGGCTCAACTGGCAATAGGCATGGTTGACTGATCCTGTGAATGTGGCTCTCCCGTCTGCGCTAATGTTATGTGAAGTCTGGAAATCCAGTTGAATTGTTCGAGGTGAAATGTCCAGATCACGCAAACTAGCTGCCTAACGTTGGTATACTCAAACCCCTTTTACGAATTATTCATGATTATTTCTTTGAAGCATTTTAGCTTATGGGAGGGTCAATTCAAGGTTTTGTCCTTTTCTGATAACTGTTTGAGATAAGAGCTATGGTTGCCTCGGTTATTATGTTTACATTCATGCTAAAAAAACAACAACAAAAACAAATTTAGAAGAATGACCATGTATGGCACAAATATACTTATAAACAGCCACCTATGTGACGCCTAACTCTTTCTATTTCATAGCTGTTTTTAAGCAAAATTCTTGTCCAAACATCTCTGCTGATACAATATACCAATCATACAAACCAAGTAGTTTACATGAAGACATAAAGCAAATACAAATAAAGTTTTTTTAAGAGCAAAAGCTGAAATTGCCCTTTTCCATTGACTGACCCATTAGCATGTATGATTTTATCTGAGAACATATGTTATCATATGTTAACTTAAAACTTCAACGGGAATAAAGAAGCCGCCCATCACATGTTAGCTAAACAAACAAAGGAAATGTCACTAAAAGAATATTATAATATATTACTTAATGTGGCTTTTGCGGAGATTCGCGGAACCGAGGTTTGAATTTGAAATGTGGCTTTAGCGGCAATTGGTATTTTTCAAAATGTGTGGTAGCCTAGTGGTTATAGCGTTCGCTCGTCACGTCGTCGATTCCCCACATGGGTACAGTGTGTGAAACCCATTTCTGGTGTGTCACCCATTGCTGGAGTATTGCTGAAAGCCGCGTAAACTAAACTAAACTCAATCACTGAATACCTTTGAAGTATTTACGTTTGCCCCACACTATATAGTGGTTACGTTCTAATACGTAATAATTAATTAATAACCATCAATTAAATAAATGTAATAAAATCCATTCTGTATTCAAAAGAAATCACCGCAGCGTTGATTGTAGAAATGAGAGTATCACACGACCATGCATTTGTGAATCACTATAAAAGAGTGATAAAAGCAGGTTTCCGCAAAAGCCTAATTGTATCTGGCCACACTTCTCACCTGTGGGAAAGGTCACAAAATCATGCAAAGGCAAATCAATTCTTATATGTCATGTTTAGTGAAGGTATTATACTGAGTATATGTACATAAAGTGGAAAACAGGTGCTCCAATAATGTAACATTCTGCGATTCTTTGAGCAGTGACGAGCACCGTGGATGTCATGGTATTGGGTTCGAAATTGGGTTCACTGTGATCATCATTCTTGATTTGGCATGTTCTAAAGTTCGTTATTGTTAACCCACAAACCGTTGTAGCTTTCTTCCAGCAATTGTCATATAATTGAAATATTTAAAATAAATCATTGACGCACTCGATCTGAAAAGGTGCATTGAATCCTGATTAGTGAAGACCGCAGAATAAAACGTATGCACGACATAAACAGTTGAATTGACTTTGGAAAAGACCATGAACATTTTCTGGTTCGTCCGTGTATAAAGAAAAATAAAACATCGATGCGGAAACCTTTGTAAGAATGAACTTCAACGAACCGAAAACAATACAAACTTACCGCGTTTGATTGAAATTTAACAAGTGCATATGTTCTCAACAAGTCAATGGGTACAATGTGTGAAGCTCATTTCTGGTTTTCCGCGCTGTGATATTGCTGGAATATTGCTAAAAGCGGCGTAAAACTTAAACTCACACACACAACGACTCAGTGACTGAGTGAGAAGGATACAGTGTTTGACAAATCTTCATAGTCATTAGCCAGTCAACTCTTGCTAAGCCTCTTTCACCTTCCATCTATCCTTGGATAGCGCTGGAAACCATGTGACTACTCACTACGCAAGCTATGCGTTCACATTGTGAAATACCAATAAATGCGATTCTAGTCACATAAGGTGTAGATAAAATTTTCGTCACACATGCGTTTTACCAGGTAATGGATTGTTACTTTTTGAATTCTCAATTTGCAAACCTCTAACACAAAGAAGTTTCAGATCATAGTTTGAATGTATTAGAAGCAAGAATGTACTTTCACAAGAACAATATTTTGTCATGTATTTCGAGCAAAAATATACATTTTCGTCAATGGGAACAATTGTTTCGCCCACCAGCGAGATTTCTTAATAACACTATAAGTTGGTCGAATTCAGTCAAAATGATTTAAACTTTGTGTCATCATACTTATGAAATCACTTTCATTCATTTACAACCTTTCAAACATTTATTTTGAGCACAAGTGAAAGCATTTTTACATTTTTTCATCCATATATTCATGATAACTGCATATTGAATTGTGTCAAATCCTTTGTCAGAAACTGGCCACAGTGCGGAGGCTTTCTGAACTGTTGGGTTTCCAGAATTATATTGTGACGTGTTTTTCTTTCTAAAACTACATTTCCGCATTTAGAACACACAAATAAAGTGAGATGTAATCATCTTTGCATACACGACTGAGTGAAGGGGTGACTTTAACGTAACGTGGTAGTAATTTATTAAGCGGTCTACTAATAATCCAAGAAGCCGCACCTTACAAACGGTGCTGATAGCACTGTTGGTAAGTCCACCATTCATACAAGTGCGAGGGGCGGTGGGGTAGCCTAGTGGTTAAAGCGTTGGCTCGTCACGCCGAAGACCCGGGTTCGAATCCTCACATGGGCACATTGTGTGAAGCCCATTTCTGGTGTCCCCTTGCCGTGATATTGCTGGAATATTGCTAAAAGCGGCGTAAAGCCATACTCACTCACTCACTCATACAAGTGCGATAACATATCCACGAGACTGTTGTGGACGAATCAAACTCTCCAGGCCTGATTCTTGTTTTCTATCATTACATAAACAAGTCATACTAATACAATCCTAACATTGAACAATGTTCAACGGTAAATCTCATTATCTACTCTTGCCCTGCTTGTAATCGTACACATTGCACACGTTCCACTACCAACTTGTAGAGACCAGGGTTAGAATTGGTATTCAGCAATTCATGCTTGACGTAAGAGGCGACAAAGGGGATGGGGTGGTCGACACATGACTTGATTGACACATGTCATCGTATACCAATTGCGTAGATTGATGCTCATGGTGTTGATCACTTGATTGTGTGGTCCAGACTTGATGATTTACAGACCACCGCCATATAACTGGAATATTGCTGAGTGTGGTGTAAAAGAACAAACAGACAGAACAAGCTCTGCAGTAACTCCGCACGTGCAAGTGGAGTGGCAATGGTAGTAACAGCTGTGACTCAAGATCCTGCAGTGATTTTTAGTTGATCATCCAGTCCTATACCTAATTCAGACAGAGGGTCTGTATTATTGTAAACTTGCAAAACATGAAAACTGCATATATTATTCAAATGACCAGTCCTTCAGAACATATATACAATTAAAAATCATTAAGCCGAACTCTAGTGTGTCGAACTTACGGTTGACTCCGAGTAAAAGTTTGGTACCTGCGTATTCCTTGTGGTTGTGTCCCAAATCGGATAACTGGGAAATGTTACGATTAACAGTGTGCGAAATAGCCACTGGCCTGCTAGCCCGTGGCTAGTATTTCTCTATAGTCACTGTCCCGACTGTTTTTTTACTTTTTTGTAATCTTTTGCTTAGTTTCTTCATTCAAATTAATGCAACATATTAAGTATACGTTATGGTCATAGTATTATATCCATTTTAGTATTTCATAGCACAGGGGAAACTATGTACATCAACACCGGTTATACTGATCTATTACTTGGGATCATAAGCCGATCTTTAACGAACATGACATGAACTTGAGGGTGAGGAGGTAGAGACACACACAAGGTAGGGTTGTGATTAATTTGACAGCAGAACACAACAGTATTACTCTATATAGCCAATACTGAGTATATAACTTGAGGTATCGAGTCTGGAATTGATCCTGCCGTCTCGTAAAAACAGTCAAAAGAATGTTACCTTCGTGTTAAAATATACAAAGTCAACAGATTCAGTAATCCTACGAAATATTTGCTGAGCGTCATGGAAACTAGACTGGCCTGCTAGCCCGTGGCTAGTATTTCTCTATAGTCACTGTCCCAACTGGCTAGTGAATTTTCATGAATTCAGACATGTGTTTTCTTATTTGTTTTTGTTGGTATTTTTCCTTTTTGTAATTTTTTGCTTAATTTCTTCATTCAAATTTCGGGCTAATGAATTACTTTGTGGGCTAGTAACTTTCAGGTATAGTTAGCCCGACTGGATAGGAAAATTTGGAAACTATTTCGCACACTGAGTTACGAACACCGCCTTCCCCAATGAAAACCCCTCAGTGTGTGCGAAATGGTGTCTATTAGTTTCGTTTGGTTTTGGGACGTCCGTCGACCAACACACATGCATCTCAAAGGGTAAAACGAATCAGCGCATTTCATAAAATAATAATTATTGGCTTTATCATTTTTTTCATGTACAAAAGTGACAGAATCAATGTTTACGACAAAACCTTTCAACTGAAACAGTCACACGAAATTCAATACGAAATTAAAAGAATTTCCGCTGTAGGTTCTTTAACACGAGCAGCACGGTCAGCCATGAAATATTTACAGGAATTTGTAAATATGTATTATGCAATTTATGCCTTTGAGTTTGGATGACAAGGACGACATGTTGTATAATGTGACAGTCACAATTTAGTGTTCACAGTTTCTTGCGAAACATGTGCATCCTTCAACGAAGACCTTCCTCGTCGCACCCAGAGTTCCAGAAGCAGGAAGATGACCCCCATAAACAGCGCTACACTACCAGCCAGATAAAACATCACGATGTAGTCTCCCGTTATGTCTCTGATGGCGCCTGAGAAAGAACAATTACAAGTTAAAAACATCATGTGTGCATATAAATTCATTTGGTTGTCACGGTTAGTGTGTTTGGAGCGTGCGTGCGTGCGTGCCTGCGTTTCTGCGTGCGAAAACGGATTGGGGAGGAAAGGGTGAAATCAACTTTCTCCTCTGTAGTAGATTCTAATCGCTTTATTAATTCACTATTAATGTACAAACGGGATCGGGTGGTCAGGCTCGCTGAATCATTGACTTAGTTGATACATGTCATCGTATCCCAGTTGCGTAGATTGATGCTCATGGTGTTGATCACTGGTCCAGACTCGATTATTTACAGACCGCCGCCATATATCAAGAATATTGCTGAGTGCGGCGATAAAAACAAACAAAATCCAATTGTGGGTCATCTTTAAATTCTTTTGAATAACAAAAACCTATTTTTGTGAATATTTTCCAAGGATCAGATCAATTACAAAAATATACATTCTCTCGAAACCTACCATTCACGGGTCCGCTGCATATATCGGCCACGCCGGAAATGCCAAAGAAGAAAGACAAAGCCGAGGAATACATAGCGTGACCACACAGTTGATGCACGATAATAGGAATGCACACATCCACCAGAGATACTAGAATCCCATGGCCCACTGTCAGCGCAACCATCACACCATAATCATAAAAGTAGGCTAATCCAAAACTGAGCAATCCACACACAGAAAGGGCTGCAGCGGAAGACAACATAGCAGGTATGTTCAGCACGGAGTCCAAAAGTCCCCCGAGCAAGCTTCCAACAACGCCTGAGACGGTGAAGGCGGAAAGTAGTAATGAGGCAGCCTCTAGAGAGTAACCTCTATTTTCAGCAATGTCAACGATGAAAACGGGCAGTCCGGTATAAAATGTCCATATCGGTAATTGACAAAATACAAATATTGTGTACGGTATGTTCTTGAATACGCGGATATCAAACGGCTTGGGTTTGGGCTTGGGGTCTTCTTTCGATGTTTTGGTCAGGAATAAAGGCTTCGTCAAACAACGGATCGTGGATCCCAGGACACACATGTTAAAGTTGATCCCCCCCCCAGGAGGAGAAACACCCCCCTCCACCCGTAAGCATCCAGTAGGAGTCTGTTTAACTGTGGGGATATGAAGGCGCCAAGTCCTGCCCCGGCCGTGATGAGGGATACTCCCATGCTCTTGTGTTTCGTCATGACTATGTTCACCACCATATAGGACGAGAAATAGGCTAAACATAGTCCAAATCCTGTAATAAACACAACACACGGTAGCAAGGACTGTTGACAAAAGTCACACTGATAAATACGTTATATATATATATCAAAAGTTAATATATCTTCGACTGTATCTTAGTTAAGATGAAATCATTTTCATTGTGACATATATATAAACTCAAATGTACTATGCGTCAAAAATTAGATATCAATTTTGCAAAAATTATTAATGAATTCGGGGCTGGAGTGTCAACAGCCAAAAAGAAATTGACCACCAATGTAATTAAAGCCAGATATATTTTCTATATGATTCAACTCTGAGTGAAGATCTGAGGAATTAGCTCATCAGCCCATTTGACCATAAGAGTGAGTGAGTGTTGTTTTACGCCTCTTTTTGCAATATTGCAGCAATATCACGACGGGGGACACCAGAAATGAGCTTCACACATAGTACCCATGTGGGGAATCGAACCCGGGTCTTCAGCGTGACGAGTGGACGCTTAAACCCCTTGGTATAAGAGAAACATTCAGACCATGCATTGTTTTTCTGTCGCTTGAAAAAGAAAATCCCGACTAGTTCTCTGATTTAAAGGCGGCGACTTTAATTTATTTTGAATATTTAATACGCATCGTCTCTGAAAGGCATTTACATAAAAAAATGGCTACCACATAACGATGGTTGTCTTGTTTTCTGTGTGTGTTTTCAATTAAACAAAGAGGTTTCCGAATGGAGTTGTTAACAAATTATGAAGAATCGTTTTAGAAGCTGACATGTGATTGACTGAAGAACATACGGATCCAGTGTTAGTTTGCGCAGTCAACACTTCGTGTGCGCTTTGGGGAAAATATTGCTAAAAGCGGCGTAAAACCCAACTCACTCACTCACTCTTTGGGGGGAAAACGAGAAAAGCTGACGTTCAATGTGTATTGAAACTGGTACCTGTTATAAATCCGACAGTGACGATGAGCACCTCCACATTTGGGGCAAAGCTAGCCCCTACACATCCACTCATTGAGAGTATTGCTCCTATTATGATAGAGGTTGCCGGCCCCAACTTCTGGACTATCGGTCCGCAGATTATTGCTGGAGAAAACAGAGCAACTCAGAGTGTGTCGGGAACATATGAATAGAAAGATGAAAATATACCAACATTTTATACAAAATATATTTTCCACCACTAACTAATATGAAGAAATATACAACAATATGTACGTGCAGTATACTACAGTTATACCGAACACGTTTATAACGAAATACGATACAACGAACATTTGTTTCGGTCTCGAATACTTAATGTATTTTAGTTGAAATGCGTATAACGAAGTATGGTTATAATGAACAGAAATTAGTGGCCCCTTTGAGTTCGTTATGACCATAGATGAACTGTAAATAGTAAGTTTCAGAAATACATTTGGGAGTTAAGGATGCCAAATTTACTAATACGTATCCCAGAATCCTTCAGAAACCACAGGGGCGGTGGGGTAGTGGTCCCGGGGTAGTATCAAGGTTAAAGAGTCCACTCGTCACGCCTAAGACCTGGGTTCGATTCCCCACATGGATACAATATGTGAAACCCATTTCTGGTGTCCCCGTGATATTGATGGAATTTGCTAAAAGCGGCGTAAAACAATACTCACTTACTCAGAAACCACATGAAAGCATCTCGCATTGCGCACACTTTCACTCGGGCATTTCCGTAACCTAAATAATGCCCACGACAGCAATAGGGTCATTCGTCACCACTCGCCTCTTGTCCCGGAATAACACGAGTTGGTCACGAATGCAATGGGGTGGGGATACTGCATGGAGTCACTGTAAACCCATACTGATCAAAGCCCGGACAAAATCTATAAAGGTAACAATAACCGCCACATTGTGTTATGTAATTAAGTTTATTAATCCCCACATCAATATGGCTTCCTCCCAAAGGTGGCAGAGATATAAATGAGGTTACGAAATATTCAAGACAGAGAGTGTATTAGGGATCATACCCCCTGTATACATTAAGCCAATGCACAACGACTGCATCAGTGACGTCTGTGCACGGGTGGCGCTGAAGACGTCGAGGATTTGGACAAACACGACTCCCAGACCGAGGGCAAAACCGATAGACAGGAAGTTGATGCATATGCAGGAAACTAGCACTATCAGCTTGGCAGATGACGTCAGTTCCGGTGTCTGAGCACTACCATAAGAAAAGAAAATGGATATGAACTTAATTCCATTTTGATAAAAGTTTTCAACATCGACCGGAACCCATAAAACGTTGGTATGAGAACACGATAGGTTCCTTCAGGCGGTCACAAGGCATAGGTCATGTATTACGATATGTAGAGACTAACGAAGCATTTCATAGAATTCTTCACAGATTATTCATAGGATAATCAAAAACCTTTTGACCCGGTACAGTTACAAATCATTGTGCAATCTTTTTAGATTCCTTTATTTCATACAATCACATTGTTCATGTCACGTTTAACAAAACCAAATACTTTCATAAAATACATACAAATTGCTCAAAATATATGTCATTAGACATATAAAGATATAGCAAGCATCTACGAGACATAATCCAGGTATGTCTTTTACCTGGGTTTCTCTGTATGACCGGAAGACCCAGGTATCTCTCTTGAAGACGTCAATGCTCCTTGGTCGGGTTCCACACGAAGTTCTTGGTTGGTTGCAGCTTCGTGGAAACCCTGTAATGACCTTGTCTTCTTTACAGGAATCGTTTCCGACGTAGACGAGTTTGCCGTGCCAACCGTTGCATCGTCAGACTTTAATGTTGTCCAGATGGAGATGTTCTTCGACACAGCCATATCTGAAATCAAGATTTCGGGCTTGATCATTGACTCAACCATTTCTAACCTTCCTTAAATGGTAAAAGTTGTGCGCATTTGTTGAAATAACAAACGACAGTACTTGCATGAAGACATGTTTTATTGACATGTCCATTGTCACGTGTCACTAAATGCTAACAAATAGAATGTGTTCAATAATCAGTCAGATCACCCGTCAAAATGATAGTATCTGACCAATAGTGAACCGTCCAGTTCACGACGACAAATTCAAAATTCATCTAATAGTTCCATTATGTATAGCGCTTTATCACACATCAGTGCACGCTCAAAGCGCTTTAGCAAAGAGAGTCTAGAGTCGGTGAGAGTTGTTGAACAGATAGGTCTTCAGGTGAGCTATAAATGATGGAAGAGAGTCAGAGTTGTTTAAAGAGTCAGGAAGCTGATTCCACTTGACAGCTGCTGTCACACTGAAAGATTTGCCTCCGAATGTTTTCAGCTGAAATCGGGGAATGTCAAGGAGTTGCTTTGAACTGGACCAGAGACATTTAACTGGCTGGTAATGTATATCTCAACGCACACAAAATAGAAACAAAATACTGCCAAAATATTGGTAAAGCGGTTACAAAAAACTCCGACCCCACATCTCTGGGTTATGAACCCTGGGGGTTCTGTCAGGTGTGACAGACTCGCTGACTTGGTAGATGCATGTTATCGTATACCAAATGCGTTGATGATGTCAGTCACTAGATTGTCTGGTTCAGATTCGGTTATCAACAGACCGCCCTCATATAAGCTCGAAAATAGTTGAGTGCGGCAAGCAAGCACACAAAACATGCAAAATAAACTTCGATGGCATGTCGTTTTATTCATTATGAGAGGACACCCACCATCGTTGTTATTGCATGTTTTGTCATAAGTGTATAAAACAATCTCGCCAGTAGACAATACAAGCTGATATTACATCAAATATCAAATTCAGGCAGAAATCATCAAAACGTCAAAGCCTTTGGTAGAACTGTAAACGTCACTGTGAACGAAGGTTGTCGGTAAAACTATTCAAAGACACTTGCTCTTTCGTGATTATCCTCCCCGAGATGATCAGACTTGGGTGAGATGCTGTCCTGCATTCTATTCTGGGATCAACTTTGTAGTGATCTTGATGTTCGCGAATTTCGAATGTTATAAACAGATTTATAAATCTTCTTTCTAACATTAGAATATATTCAGTTGAGGCAATAACAATCGGTCAGTTGCTGCAGGTAGGAACAGACAGGCTGACTGTAATTGAAAAGTGAGTGAGTATGGTTTTACGCCGCTTTTAGCAAATTTCCAGCAATATCACGGCAGAAATGGGCTTCACACATTGTACCCATGTGGGGAATGGAACCCGGGTCTTCGGCGTCACGAGCCAACGCTTTAACCACTAGACTACCCCACCGCCTCTATAATTGAAAAGAATCTTACCGGAATACCTGTGCTGATGTTTCGTAAAGTGTATTAAGGATGTTGGAACTGGTTATAAATAGTCCAAATTAGATGTATTGCATCATGTGGCCAAATCTTATGACCGGTGGTTTACAACAAGCCAATCCACAGTGACAGTGAGTTTCGCAATCACGATCAAGGACGTGACTCATTTCTGTGTACAGTAGATTACCATAAAACGGTCGTTATAGTTAAAGATGCACTACTAAAGAAACATCTACTTATTGCGCTTGTAGTTGACATGTTGATGCGAATATTGCGAAATGGGGTCTTCAATGGTTCAGCAAGTGGGGACTTGTTTTAGTGTGATAGCCTAATGAAATACTATGTCACAGTTTAACATGGGTATCTCACTACGACACATTACACTGTCTCCTAGACGGCCAGTCACTACGACACATGACACTGTCTCCTAGACGGCCAGTCACTCAGACACATTACACTGTCTCCTAGACGGCCAGTCACCCAGACACATAACACTGTCTCCTAGACGACCAGTCACCCAGACACATAACACTGTCTCCTAGACGAGCCAGTCACTCAGACACATAACACTGTCTCCTAGACGGCCAGTCACCTCAGACATGACATAATGTCTGTCTCGGCTAACACTGCCCTAGTCACCAGTCACAGACATGACACTGTCTCCTAGACGGCCAGTCACTCAGACACATGACACTGTCTCCTAGACGGCCAGTCACTCAGACACATGACACTGTCTCCTAGACGGCCAGTCACTCAGACACATAACACTGTCTCCTAGACGACCAGTCACCAGACACATAACACTGTCTCCTAGACGGCCAGTCACCCAGACACATGACACTGTCTCCTAGACGACCAGTCACCCAGACACATGACACTGTCTCCTAGACGGCCAGTCACCCAGACACATAACACTGTCTCCTAGACGGCCAGTCACCCAGACACATGACACTGTCTCCTAGACGGCCAGTCACCCAGACACATGACACTGTCTCCTAGACGGCCAGTCACCCAGACACATGACACTGTCTCCTAGACGGCCAGTCACCCAGACACATGACACTGTCTCCTAGACGGCCAGTCACCCAGACACATGACACTGTCTCCTAGACGGCCAGTCACCCAGACACATGACACTGTCTCCTAGACGGCCAGTCACCCAGACACATGACACTGTCTCCTAGACGGCCAGTCACTCCAGACACATGACACTGTCTCCTAGACGGCCAGTCACCCAGACACATGACACTGTCTCCTAGACGGCCAGTCACTCAGACACATGACACTGTCTCCTAGACGGCCAGTCACCCAGACACATGACACTGTCTCCTAGACGGCCAGTCACCCAGACACATGACACTGTCTCCTAGACGGCCAGTCACCCAGACACATGACACTGTCTCCTAGACGACCAGTCACCCAGACGGTCTCCCTAGAGTCACTGTCTGTCCAGACACATGACACATGTCTCCCTAGACGGCCAGTCACCCAGACACATGACAATGTCTCCTAGACGGCCAGTCACCCAGACACATAACACTGTCTCCTAGACGGTCAGTCACCCAGACACATGACACTGTCTCCTAGACGGCCAGTCACCCAGACACATGACACTGTCTCCTAGACGGCCAGTCACCCAGACACATAACACTGTCTCCTAGACGACCAGTCACCCAGACACATGACACATGAGACACAGTCTCCTAGACACATAACACTGTCTCACCCAGACACATGACACTGTCTCCTAGACGGCCAGTCACCCAGACACATGACACTGTCTCCTAGACGACCAGTCACCCAGACACATGACACTGTCTCCTAGACGGCCAGTCACCCAGACACATGACACTGTCTCCTAGACGACCAGTCACCCAGACACATAACACTGTCTCCTAGACGGCGTCACCACATGACAGTCTCCTAGACGACCAGTCACCCAGACACATAACACTGTCTCCTAGACGACCATAACACTGTCTCCTAGACGACCAGTCACCCAGACACATAACACTGTCTCCTAGACGACCAGTCACCCAGACACATAACACTGTCTCCTAGACGACCAGTCACCCAGACACATGACACTGTCTCCTAGACGACCAGTCACTCAGACACATGACACTGTCTCCTAGACGACCAGTCACCCAGACACATAACACTGTCTCCTAGACGACCAGTCACCCAGACACATAACACTGTCTCCTAGACGACCAGTCACCCAGACACATGACACTGTCTCCTAGACGACCAGTCACTCAGACACATGACACTGTCTCCTAGACGACCAGTCACCCAGACACATGACACTGTCTCCTAGACGACCAGTCACCCAGACACATAACAATGTCTCCTAGACGAGTAGTCACCCAGACACATGACACTGTCTCCTAGACGACCTTTCACCCAGGCCCTTAACACTGTCTCTAACACATGACACTGTCACCTAGAGAGCTAGTCACTAAGACGCATGACACTGTCTCCAAGACGACCAGTCACCCAGACACTTAACACTGTCTCCTGGACAGCCAGTCACTCCGACATATGACATTGCCTCCTAGACGGCTGTCTCCTGTAGTCAATGTTAACAGTAGTCATTTCGTATGATTTTTATATCGACACTCCAATACGTCACTATGTCATAAAACCTTTACATTTCTTGTACGTGTGACGATGAAATAATACCAATTTTTTTAAAAAGCATTGTTTTTCTATACATTTCTTGTTAGAAAATGAAAAGGGACGTTTTTCCGGAGGACTTTTTACCGCAAATTTAGTACTTTTTGAGCGGTACTTTTTTTAACCGAGGACTTTTTTTTAACGAACACCTAACAAACCGTATCTGTTTAACAACACATGTGACCAAATTCTGTCCATATAAACCATGTGACTTGAATACCATTAAAAGATATTTCACAATGTCTATATGTGGGGCAACACGCGGTTCAAGCCATAATAAATTGTATGAAGAAACTGATTTCCTCCCTCTAGCTGAAAGAAATGCAACCAACTGAACAATTTGGTCTTAACAAAGGGTTGTGAACGAGAAAACATTGAGGCAATAGCGATATAGAACCACCAGAGAGGATCCTATCTGTGTCAAATGCCTTCGAAAAATCTATAAAGAGGCAGTAAAATCTACCCCTTTTGTTATATAACGGTACTTCTGGATAATTGACTGCACAGTAAACGTGGTCTATGGCGGAGTAATTTGCTCTGAATCAGATGAGCCAAATTGATTGTCATATACATGTATATATTTTGAATCTCTATGTTATAAACTAAAGCACATATTTTGCAGATAATTCAGGCAATGTTTTCTGGATCCTGCACAATGCCGTATATGTTCATTGCCCTTGAGAATAAGACAAATAATAACACTTGACAGGCACATCAAGTTTTACCCACCCCAGAAGTACCTTGTCATTCATTTCTGTGAGGGAGACCCTGTGATCCTTGGCACAGGCTCGAAAGACGACGAGTGAAGGGGTGACTTCAACGTAACGTGGTAGTTATTTATTAAGTGGTCTACTAATAATCCAAGAGGCCGCACCTTACAAACGGTGCTGATAGCACTGTTGGTAAGTCCACCATTCATACAAGTGCGAGGGGCGGTGGGGTAGCCTAGTGGTTAAAGCGTTGGCTCGTCACGCCGAAGACCCGGGTTCGAATCCCCGCATGGGCACATTGTGTTAAGCCCATTTCTGGTGTCCACCGCCGTGATATTGCTGGAATATTGCTAAAAGCGGAGTAAAACCATACTCACTCACTCACTCACTGCGATAACATATCCGCGAGACTGTTGGGGACGAATCAAACTCTCCAGGCCTGATTCTGGTTTTCTATCATTACATAAACAAGTCATACTAATACAATCCTAACATAAGTTGAACAATGTTCAACGGTAAATCTCATTATCTACTCTTGCCCTGCTTGTAATCGTACACATTGCACACGTTCCACTACCAACTTGTAGAGACCAGAGTTAGAATTTGTATTCAGCAATTCATGCTTGACGTAAGAGGCGACTAAGGGGGTGGGGTGGTCGACACATGACTTGATTGACACATGTCATCGTATCCCAATTGCGTAGATTGATGCTCATGGTGTTGATCACTTGATTGTGTGGTCCAGACTCGATTATTTACAGACCACCGCCATATAACTGGAATATTGTTGAGTGTGGTGTAAAAGAACAAACAGACAGAACATGTTTGTCCAAGCTCTGCCGTAACTCCACATGTGCAAGTGGCGTGGCAATGGGAGTAACAGCTGTGACTCAAGATCCTGCAGTGATTTTAAGTTGATCATCCAGTCCTATACCTAATTCAGACAGAGGGTCTGTATTATTGTAAACTTGCAAAACATGAAAACTGCATATATTATTCAAATGACCAGTCCTTCAGAACATATATACAATTAAAAATCATTAAGCCGAACTCTAGTGTGTCGAACTTACGGTTGTCTCCGAGTATAAGTTTGGTACCTGCGTATTCCTTGTGGTTGTGTCCCAAATCGGATAACTGGGAAATGTTACGATTAACAGTGTGCGAAATAGCCGTTGGCCTGCTAGCCCGTGGCTAGTATTTCTCTATACTCATTGTCCCGACTGGCTAGTGAATTTTCATGAATTCAGACATGTGTTTTCTTATTTGTTTTTGATGGTATTTTACCTTTTTGTAATCTTCTGCTTAGTTTCTTCATTCAAATTTCGGGCTAATGAATTACTTTGTGGGCTAGTAACTTTCAGGAATAGTTAGCCCGACTGGATAGGAAAATTTGGAAACTATTTTGCACACTGAGTTACGAACACCGCCTTCCCCAATGAAAACCCCTCAGTGTGTGCGAAATGGTGTCTATTAGTTTCGTTTGGTTTGGGGCGTCCGTCGACCAACACACATGCATCTCAAAGATAAAAACGAATCAGCGCATTTCATAAAATAATAATTATTGGCTTTATCATTTTTTTCATGTACAAAAGGTGACAGAATCAATGTTTACGACAAAACTGAAACAGTCACACGAAATTCAATACGAAATTAAAAGAATTTCTGCTGTAGGTGCTTTAACACGAGCAGCACGGTCAGCCATGAAATATTTACAGGAAATTGTAAATATGTATTATGCAATATATGCCTTTGAGTTTGGATGACAAGGACGACATGTTGTATAATGTGACAGTCACAATTTAGTGTCCACAGTTTCTTGCGAAACATGTGCATCCTTCAACGAAGACCTTCCTCGTCGCACCCAGAGTTCCAGAAGCAGGAAGATGACCCCCATAAACAGCGCTACACTACCAGCCACATAAAACATCACGATGTAGTCTCCCGTTATGTCTCTGATGGCGCCTGAGAAAGAACAATTACAAGTTAAAAACATCATGTGTTCATATAAATTCATTTGGTTGTCACGGTTAGTGTGTTTGGAGCGTGCGTGCGTGCCTGCGTTTCTGCGTGCGAAAACGGATTGTGGAGGAAAGGGTGAAATCAACTTTCTCCTCTGTAGTAGATTCTAATCACTCTATTAATTTATATTAATGTACAAACGGGATCGGGCGGTCAGGCTCGCTCAATCACTGAATTGGTTGATACATGTCATCGTATCCCAGTTGCGTAGATTGATGCTCATGGTGTTGATCACTGGTCCAGACTCGATTATTTACAGACTGCCGCCATATATCAAGAATATTGCTGAATGCGGCGTTAAAAACGAACAAACAACCAAAATCCAATTGTGGGTAATCTTTAAACTTCTTTTGAATACCAAAAACCTATTTTTGTGAATATTTTCCAAGGATCAGATCAATTACAAAAATATACATTTTCTCGAAACCTACCATTCACGGGTCCGCTGCATATATCGGCCACGCCGGAAATTCCAAAGAGGAAAGACAAAGCCGAGGAATACATAGCGTGACCACACAGTTCATGCACGATAATAGGACGGCACACATCCACCAGAGATGCTAGAATCCCTTGGCCCACTGTCAGCGCTACCATCACACCATAATCATAAAAGTGGGCTAATCCAAAACTGAGCAATCCACACACAGAAAGGGCTGCAGCGGCAGACAACATAGCAGGTACGTTCAGCACGGAGTCCAAAAGTCCCCCGAGCAAGCTTCCAAATACGACTGAGACGGTTAAGGCGGAAAGTAGTAACGAGGCAGCTTCTAGAGAGTAACCTCTATTTTCAGCAATGTCAACGATGAAAACGGGCACTCCGGTAAAAAATGTCCTTATCGGTAATTGACAAAATACAAATATTGTGTACGGTATGTTCTTGAATACGCTGATATCAAACGGCTTGGGTTTGGGCTTGGGGTCTTCTTTCGATGTTTTGGTCAGGAATAATGGCTTCGTCAAACAACGGATCGTGGATCCCAGGACACACATGTTAAAGTTGATCCCCCCCAGGAGGAGAAACACCCCCCTCCACCCGTAAGCATCCAGTAGGAGTCTGTTTAACTGTGGGGATATGAAGGCGCCAAGTCCTGCCCCGGCCGCGATGAGGGATACTCCCATGCTCTTGTGTTTCGTCATGACTATGCTCACCACCATATAGGACGAGAAATAGGCTAAACATAGTCCAAATCCTGTAATAAACACAACACACGGTAGCAAGGACTGTCGACAAAAGTCACACTGCTAAATACGTTATATATATATATATATATATATATATATATATATATATATATCAAAAGCTAAATATATCTTCGACTGTATCTTAGTTATGATGAAATCATTTTCATTGTGACATATATATAAACTCAAATGTACTATGCCTCAAAAATTAGATATCAATTTTGCAAAAATTATTAAGGAATTCGGGGCTGGAGTGTCAACAGAAAAGAAACCAAAACGAAATTGACCACCAGTGTAATTAAAGGCAGATATATTTTCCTATATGATTCAACTCTGAGTGAAGATCTGAGGAATTAGCTCATCAGCCCATTTGACCATAAGAGCGAGTGAGTGTGTGGGTGTTGTATTACGCCGCTTTTATCAATATTCCAGCAATATCACGGCGGGGGACACCACAAATGGGCTTCACACATAGTACTCATGTGGGGAATCGAACCCGGGTCTTCAGTGTGACAAGTGGACGCTTAAACCACTTGGTATAAGAGAAACATTCAGACCATGCATTGTTTTTTTGTCTCTTGAAAAAGAGAACCCCGACTAGTTCTCTAATTTAAAGGCGGCGACTTTAATTTATTTATTATATTTAATATGCATCGTCTCTGAAAGGCATTTACATAAAAAATGGCTACCACATAACGATGGTTGTCTTGTTTTCTGTGTGTGTTTTCATTTGTACAAAGAGGTTTCCGAATGGAGTTGTTAACAAATTATGAAGAATCGTTTTAGAAGCTGACATGTGATTGACTGAAGAACATACGGATCCGGTGTTAGTTTGCGCAGTCAACTCTTCGTGTGCGCTTTGGGGGAAATATTGCTAAAAGCGGCGTAAAACCCAACTCACTCACTCACTCTTTGGGGGAAAAACGAGAAAAGCTGACGTTCACTGTGTATTGAAACTGGTACCTGTTATAAATCCGACAGTGACGATGAGCACCTCCACATTTGGGGCAAAACTAGCCCCTACACATCCACTCATTGAGAGTATTGCTCCTATTATGACAGCGGTTGCCGCCCCCAACTTCTGGACTATCGGTCCGCAGATTATTGCTGGAGAAAACAGAACAACTCAGAGTGTGTCGGGAACATATGAATAGAAAGATGAAAATATACCAACATTTTATACAAAATATATTTTCCACCACTAACCAATATGAAGAAATATACAACAATATGTACGTGAAGTTTTCTTACGATACAGTAAACTACGGTTAAACCGAACACGTTTATAACGAAATACGATACAACGAACATATGTTTCGGTCTCGAATACTTAATGTATATTTTAGCTGAAATGCGTAAAACGAAGTTTGGTTATAATGAACAGAAATTAGTGGCCCCTTTGAGTTCGTTATGACCATAGATGTACTGTAAATAGTAAGTTTCAGAAATAAATTTGGGAGTTAAGGATGCCAAATTTACTAACACGTATCCCAGAATCCTTCAGAAACCACAGGGGCGGTGGGGTAGTGGTCCCGGGGTAGTATCAAGGTTAAAGCGTCCACTCGTCACGCTGAAGACATGGGTTCGATTCCCCACATGGGTACAATGTGTGAAACCCATTTGTGGTGTCCCCCGCCGTGATAGTGATGGAATATTGCTAAAAGCGGCGTAAAACAATACTCACTCACTCAGAAACCACATTAAAGCGTCTCGCATTGCGCACACTTTCACTCGGGCATTTCCGTATCCTAAATAATGCCCACGACAGCAATAGGGTCATTCGTCACCACTCGCCTCTTGTCCCGGAATAACACGAGTTGGTCACGAATGCAATGGGGTGGGGATAATTCATGGACTCACTGTAAACCCATACTGACCAAATCCCGGACACAATCTATACAGGTAACAATAACCGCCACATTGTGTTATGTAATGAAGTTTATTAATCCCGACATCAATATGGCTTCCTCCCAAAGGTGGCAGAGATATAAATGAGGTTACGAAACATTCAAGACAGAGAGTGTATTAGGGATCATACCCCCTGTATACATTAAACCAATACACAACGACTGCATCAGTGACGTCTGTGCACGGGTGGCGCTGAAGACATCGAGGATTTGGACAAGTACGACTCCCAGACCGAAGGCAAAACCGATACACAGGAAGTTGATGCATATGCAGGAAACTAGCACTATCAGCTTGGCAGATGACGTCAGTTCCGGTGTCTGAGCACTACCATAAGAAAAGAAAATGGATATGAACTTAATTGCATTTTGATAAAAGTTTTCAACATCGACCGGAACCCATAAAACGTTGGTATGAGAACACGGTAGGTTCCTTCAGGCGGTCACAAGGCATAGGTCATGTATTACGATGTGTAGAGACTAACGAAGCATTTCATAGAATTCTTCACAGATTATTCATAGGATAATCAAAAACCTTTTGACCCGGTACAGTTACAAATCATTATGTAATCTTTTTAGATTCCTTTATTTCATACAATCACATTGTTCACGTCACGTTTAACAAAACCAGTGCTTTCATAAAATACATACAAATTTCTCAAAATATATGTCATTAGACATATAAAGATATAGCAAGCATCTACGAGACATAATCCAGGTATGTCTTTTACCTGAGTTTCTCTGTATGACCGGAAGACCCAGGTATCTCTCTTGAAGACGTCAATGCTCCTTGGTCGGGTTCCACATGAAGTTCTTGGTTGGTTGCAGCTTCGTGGAAACCCTGTAATGACCTTGTCTTCTTTACAGGAATCGTTTCCGACGTAGACGAGTTTGCCGTGCCAACCGTTGCATCGTCAGACTTTAATGTTGTCCAGATAGAGATGTTCTTCGACACAGCCATATCTGAAATCACGATTTCGGGCTTGATCATTGATTCAACCATTTCTAACCTTCCTTAAATGGGAAAAGCTGTGCGCATTTGTTGAAATAACAAACGACAGTATTTGAATGAAGACATGTTTTATTGACATGTCCATTGTCACGTGTCACTAAATGCTAACAAATAGAATGTGTTCAATAATCAGTCAGATCACCCGTCAAAATGATAGTATCTGACCAATAGTGAACCGTCCTATTCACGACGACAAATTCAAAATTCATCTAATAGTTCCATTATGTATAGCGCTTTATCACACATCAATGCACGCTCAAAGCGCTTTAGCAAAGAGAGTCTAGAGTCGGTGAGAGTTGTTGAACAGATAGGTCTTCAGGTGAGCTTTAAATAATGGAAGAGAGTCAGAGTTGTTGAAAGAGTCAGGAAGCTGATTCCACTTGACAGCTGCTGTCACACTGAAAGATCTGCCTCCGAATGTTTTCAGCTGAAATCGGGGAATGTCAAGGAGTTGCTTTGAACTGGACCAGAGACATTTAACTGGCTGGTAACGTATATCTCAACGCACACAAAATAGAAACAAAATACTGCCAAAATATAGGTAAAGCGGTTACAAAAAACTCCGACCCCACATCTCTGGGTTATGAACCCTGGGGGCTCTGTCAGGTGTGACAGACTCACTGACTTGGTAGATGCATGTTATCGTATACCAAATGCCTTGATGATGTCAGTCACTAGATTGTCTGGTTCAGATTCGGTTATGAACAGACCTCCCTCATATAAGCTCGAAAATAGTTGAGTGCGGCAAGCAAGCACACAAAACATGCAAAATAAACTTCGATGGCATGTCGTTTTATTCATTATGAGAGGACACCCACCATCGTTGTTATTGCATGTTTTGTCATAAGTGTATAAAACAATCTCGTCAGTAGACAATACAAGCTGATATTACATCAAATATCAAATTCAGGCAGAAATCATCAAAACGTCAAAGCCTTTGGTAGAACTGTAAACGTCACTGTGAACGAAGGTTGTCGGTAAAACTATTCAAAGACACTTGCTCTTTCGTGATTATCCTCCCCGAGATGATCAGACTTGGGTGAGATGCTGTCCTGCATTCTATTCAACTTTGTAGTGATCTTGATGTTCGCGAATTTCGAATGTTATAAACAGATTTATAAATCTTCTTTCTTACATTAGAATATATTCAGTTGAGGTAATAACAATCGGTCAGTTGCTGCAGGTAGGAACAGACAGGCTGACTGTAATTGATAAGTGAGTGAGTATGGTTTTACGCCGCTTTTAGCAAATTTCCAGCAATATCAGGACAGAAATGGGCTTCACATATTGTACCCATGTGGGGAATGGAACCCGGGTCTTCCGCGTGACGAGCCAACGCTTTAACCACTGGGCTATCCCACCGCCACTATAATTGAAAAGAATCTTACCGGAATACCTGTGCTGATGTTTCGTAAAGTGTATTAACAATGTTGGAACTGGTTATAAATAGTCCAAATTAGATGTATTGCATCATGTGGGCAAATCTTATGACCGGTGGTTTACAACAAGCCAATCCACAGTGACAGTGAGTTTCGCAATC